AGGGCCAACTCAGAACTCTTAGAAGCCAAGACATCAGCCCCTACGGACTTTGATTTAGCTAAAGGGTAGATTTTGGAGAAAATCTCAACGTAGCTCAAGCATAGAATTTGGTAAAATAGTTATAGTTTAATAAATCAGATAATAAACTAGGTACTTGTAGGTCATCCATATATTGAGAAGTCTTGACTAACACATCTTCCAAGCAGAAAGACCAAACAAACAATGAAAAGAATTATATGCAGAGGTTTCGAGTTGAATCTTTATCCAACTATAGTTAAAACTGACATGCATTATGAGAATGGATATCGAATGGCTGAGATATAATTGTTATATCTAGCTGTGAGAAGAATTGAGATGTCAAAGAGTACAGAGAACCAAGAAAGAAGATTGTAACAGAGTCGTGATTGCAAAATGGCAAATGCATACCGAATGCACGCGGCGATTTAGCAAATTTGTAGCAGCTATCTAACGGATGCTTTGCTAACTTCTGGGATGATAGAAACAAAGAGAGAACATATTGAATGTAGTAGTAAGATGACAAAGATGATCAAAACGAAGTGAGAAGGATCCCAACATCAGATGATTTGGGAAACCCTTCTCACTTGTATAAAGTGATATTAGGCCTCTGAATTTTGAGAACAATTTCAACAAGCCATCACTTTTGATTCAATTTCATAGCACTCCAAAATAGTTAAGAATCTCAAAAACATGGTGTGACCGAGTTCTTAGACGATATTTACTCCTCAACTTTTAACAATCCTTTGAACAAAAATGAGCTCAAATCAGTGCAGATAGATAGAACAAGGCATGATCCAAATGCTTAATATACACTGATCCCAAATGCATTACCAAAGACGAGAACCCAATTTCATCAACAAATTGTACTAGATACTAATCAAAGACACAAATCCAGACAATGGAAATTGATCACCAATTACACAAAGAATTGAAAACCCATATGATTACTTAACGGGCCTTTTTCTTTCCAGCAACAGTGACCCTCTTACCCTTCAAAGTCCTAGTGTTGTTCTTGGTGCGCTGTCCTCTGCAAGGCAAGCCCTGGATATGGCGGATGCCTCTGTAGCATTGAATCTCCTTCAGTCTCCTGATATTCAACGCATTGAACCTCCTCTGCAACACCCAAAAAACCCAAAACCATAAGAACCCAATATTCCTAATATGAAAAGAAAGACTCTAAAGAGATCAAGTTCGAGTCTTTACCAAGTCTCCTTCAATCATGTACTTGGAGACTTCGTCTCTGATAATGGTGAGTTCTTCTTCGGACAAGTCTTTGGTGATTTTGTTCTCCATGTTGAGGTCGATTAGGATTGTGCGCGCTCTGGTACGCCCAATTCCATGAACGTACTGAAGAGAGAACTCGACCCTTTTGTTGTTTGGAATTTCGACTCCGCCAACACGCACGCATTTGATGCTGAGGCCACCAACCTGTGCAAAATCGATGAGACCCACGAATTTTTGAGCTCGACCCAGAATTTAAAATGTGGGTTTGAAGTGAAATTTACCTTATTGGGGTTTCTGAGTGGGAAGGAGACACTGTTGGAGAGGGGGTTAGGGTTTCTTCCATTGCAGATTACAGAGAGCGAGGGTGCCAGAGGCATTGCCAGTGTTTGCGCCATTTTTGTCAACACTGCGTGTGACTAGTGAGAGTGATGAGTTTGTGTGTGGATGAAGACGATGGGGTCGAGCTCTGGCTTATCCTTTCTGATGCATATGGCTATTTGCTATAAAAGCCCAACTTGGATTTTTATTTTGGGGTCAGATCCAAACTTTCACTCAAAGCCCAAAATATCATTTGTAGCTCCAAAAACAACTCTTTTTTTTTTTTCTTTTTTTCCCACAATGCTCATTTTTAGAATTCAAAATACTGCATCTGTCTGTGATTATTAATTTCAAGCTATGTGGAAGATAAGGCAGACTCTTGTCACCTTGTCTTTGTTTGTTCCATGTTCAACTGTCTTCACAGCTTTGCTTCTAATAATTTTTAATCCAAGGAAGGCATTGGTTGCCTTGGTTTAACCATGTTTTGAAGATCTATTTGCTGATATTTAAATGGACATTTTGTGATTTGGGTTGTAGATTACTGGGTTTATGGGTTTGGTTGGTGATTAACTCACTGATCGAGATATGTTGACAAGTTTAATATGTTTCATTATATACTGTTTCAAGTGTACTGCGAATTTCATCTTAGTTAACTTAAATTACTTATTTATTCAGACGCGATCGAATTCCTATGAAATTTCATCCTTGAGGGCTTTTGGTGATGTATAGATATCATGCTTGATTTGGAAATATAGCAACCTCGCAGATAATTCTTGAAATCCTAGTATTCTGGGCTAGCAGAAAACACCACAACACACAGAAATTTAAGGCCCAATGCTAACCATCTTTGAAGCAGAAGCAAAAATTCTAGTGGTTATTGAGAGATCAAATGTGACATCGAGAACCAAGATTGTAGAAAAGAAACAGCAACAGGAGGCTTTCTCCTTGAACACAATTAGTAAAACCACCAACAATCATGACTTCAAAACCCCACAAATTGTAAAAGCAGATGAATTCTATATGCAAACCGAGTTCAAGAAAAAACCGTAGTACGGTGACTACTTCTTCAACTTCTTTGATGCTGCAACAGCAACCCGCTGACTACCTTTCCTGGTCCTGGCATTGGTGCTGGTGCGCTGCCCTCGGCACGGCAAGTTATCAACATGTCTTATCCCTCTGTAGCACTGAATGTCTTTCATTCTCTTTATGTCTCTATCAACAAGACCCGCCTGAAAAAACCCGAAAAGAAAAAACAAAAACCAGATATGTAAGCATTACAAGCAGTACTTAAAGAGAGGGAGGAGGGTGGGAGAGGAAGACAGAGTTATACCAAATCCCTTCCAATGACGTACTTGCTGAGTACATCATCCAAAGCAACAACTTCTCTTCTGGTCAAGTCCATGGCAAGTTTGTTGCTCATGTTGAGCTCAGACAGGATTTGGGCAGCCCTGGCTCTGCCAATACCATGTATGTACTGAAGCGCAAACTTGAGGGGCTTATTGTCTGGAATCTCCATCCCTGCTCTTATATTGAGGCATCGGGCACCCACCCCATGAAACTGCATACAAAACAGGAGGCTAAAAGATGATCATGATAAATACCAACATATAAAATCTGTAACCTTTCAAATTTCAAAGCTTAGGATATGGGGAATGATAAATTTTTCTTACTCTTTTTCTTTTTGGCACAATTTTTGGATCATTGGATGTTTCATTGAAATGTACAATGGAAAGCAGAGAATTCAAAATCAAAACTAGGCATTTGCATTTTCCATTTCATATAAATCATTATTGTCAATCATTTCAACCAAACAACGTACAAGTAATTGAAAAGCCAACAATTCATTCATGCAAAACCCAGAAAAAGCCCTAAAGCACCAATCTTTCTGCAAGCACTGAATTTGAAAATTTTAGAACAAACTTACAGTCATAAACCCCAAATCCTTAAACCCTAAACCCAATGTGTTTGAAATCAATTACAAAAGCAATTAGCTTGATAAAAAAAGAAGGGGGCTTTGTGGTTATGAACTCACCGATACAGATTGAAGGAGTCGACGACTCGCATAGGAAGCGATTGCGACTGTACCACGTAATCCAAACATTGGATCTGGATTGTTGGATATGCTAAAGAAAGTTGCAAAGTTGCAAAGGCAAAACTTCCAATCAAGCAAAGACTAGGGATTTTGATTTTCTGTCTAGCAAAATACTAAGCCGGCCTATTACTCATACGGGCTTGGCCCGATTCCATATGGGTTGGAACTTGGAGGTCATATGAATCAAGAATTCTATCCTGAGATTCTTATATATGATTTTAAGTGAGACTTTATTTCTTAACCGTTCGATCAAATTAGTTAGTCATTGAATTAAATTAGTTAGTCTAATATAACAGTTAAGAGATAGAACCTCACATAAATTAAAGACTTTCTAAAAATTTAATAAAAATCAAATCATGCTCCGTCTCATTGTCCAAGTCTAGTAAATTTCATTTGTTATCATGAAAGAGAATTGAACTCTTAACTTAGCCTAATACTAATAACATATTTCACCACTTACCCATCCTCACTACTTGGACAAAGCTTTAAGGGCTTAGATTTTTTGTTTTTTGTTTTGTTTTTTTTTTGTGTGTGTGGTCAATTTCTTGATCGATTCAGCTAAGGAAGGGTAAATTCAATATGATAATTGTTATTTATTTACCAGCAACTCTCACATACTACATTGACTGTAACACAATACATGATAGATTTTTTATATTTTACTTTTAAGTCGTATACGTAACATAACATTAGTTACTAGCTAGTGACCTCCGAGAGGTCCATGCACAGCCTGATTGTAGTTGTTGTAATTGCTATTGCCTCCATAGCCATTGGAACCATGTGAATTGCCAAACCCACCACCTCCATATCCAAAACCACTTCCACCCCCAGTTGAAGATGAGCTGCCCCACCCAAATCCAAACCCGCCGCACCATCGGGGCTCTGACTCAAAAACTGAAAGTGGCGCCTTCAGGATCTGAACCCACACCCCAATTCCAATGTCCGGTAGGGGACGATCTACATCCGCACCGGAAGGTTCACCCACTCGGCCCACATCCTTGAGGGTGTTGGTTTGCCATGGGTGCGTGCTTTTGGGGTGTGTCTTTTGAGCTAGAAGTAGAGAGGGTGAGAGTGACAGAAGGGTATGTCATTGTGAGCACGACCACCCATTTGCTTCTCCTTGTTGTGATCATTTTCTTTGTCAGTGTGATTGATGAAATGAAAACTGAGATTTCCTGCGGGGATAGGCTTATTAATTGCCTATACAAACCCACACATTCGCTTGGTTGTTGAAAATTTTGGCAATCTTGACAAATTGCTTTGGCTCTCTTGCTGGCAACCCAGAAAGTCTTCCTTTTGCAATCAACTAATCAACAGTAGCATGTGATTGATGTGATGGAACATCTCACAAATTTCTCTTCTGACTATTGATGCATACAAATTTCACTTGGTAATGGGGCAGTTGCTCGATCAATGTAGAGTCTTGCTTGCTTTAGAGTGATGTTGCTTACATGGATGTGGTCTAAATGTTGGCCAATATATCTACTTTGTGATAAATTGCTGATATGGAATCAAATAGTATATTCTTATTTAAACGTGTAGTTCAAGTCGATAGTTTCACAACATAAACATTAATCCTTCCTCCCAAAAACCTAAAAGTTTATTTACATAAGAGAGCTGCTACAAATTCCTCAATGTTCTTATCAGAGCTTCCACCTTCCGCCACAGCCTCCTTAGCCAATTCTCTCCATCTCATTGAATTCCTTTTAATCTCCTTCCCTCTCTCTCCTTCCATGACTTGTGCTATGCATCTTTCTATTTCTTCTTTAGTGACAATTCCCATTTGGTCAACCTTGACCCTCACTCCAACTTTCCATTCATCTTCCACAAACTTAGCATTTGTCAATTGGTCAGTCCACTGTGGCATTGCCACCATTGGCACCCCTGAGCTCAATGCCTCAAGTGTAGAGTTCCACCCACAATGTGTCATGAAGCAACCAACGGCCTCGTGAGCCAAAATTTGCAGTTGAGGGCACCAATTCACAACCAAACCCTTCTCTGATGTTTGCTCTTCGAAATTGCTAGGAAGCTTTTGAATTTCTGATTCTCTGACTACCCACAAGAAGTTGGTTTTGCTCCTTTTTAGGCCCAATGCTAGCTCCTCCATCTGCTTTTCTCCTAGGTTAGCCATGCTTCCAAACGATACATACACCACTGTGCCTGTATCTTTTGATTCTAACCACTTGATGCAAGTGTCAGTGTTGGGTGTGAAAAGGTTGAAACCATAGTCTCTGTCATCTTCTAACCTTTTGTCTAGGTACATTGATGGAAGGGTTGGCCCTATTGTCTTGATTGGCCATCTTGTTCTCATCCAGCTCACCACCTGATGAAATTATAAGGTGTCGTCTATTTAAGATTCAAATAAAATTATTTGTACCACATTTATAGACTATTTTTCATTGAGTAGGTCTCACTTTAATAACAGAAGTGGGCAATATGTGTCCTCAAATTCTATGGCTATAGTTGCCAAAGGGGCATTTTAACTCAAGCTAACATGTACTCTAGGCTTACAGCATTTAAAAAACAAAAACAAAAAGTATCTAATATGTATAATCAACACAAGAAGAATTGTTGTTTTCTGTCAGTTCAATCATAGCTAGGTAATATTAGTCCCTCCAAATATAGATCCTAGCCTCTCCCAATAATACACAGAAACATTGTTTAAAATATTGAGCAAAGCTTAAAGCCATCCTGTTCAATAATGGGGGAAAATAATATTCATACTTCAGTTCAAAATTTACTCTCTAAATTTCAATTCGGAATTAACACAAGCCTCAAGCCCCATATGTTATGTCTTTTAATCCATGTAGTTTGCTAGAATTTCCAATTTCGTTCTACGGTTAAAAGAAACGTAAAGAAATACCCTTGTAGTTTACACTAAGTTGCAAACTACATGGACCAAAAATGTATTTTAGCCTATGAATCCAATTCAAGTTTTCTTTTCTTATAATTTCCCAAACATCATCTTTAATCAGTCTTTTTGAAATTTTACCTAAGCTTGTTCCTTCAAGACATTGCAAAGATATGTTGATGGACTGATATATGATCAAGAAATGTTTGTGGATATACACACACACACACACACACATATATATATATATGTACCTCTTGTTCCAAGCAATCAAAACTGTTCCAGAAAATCCAATCAGCATCAGTGATATTTGAAAACCTGCCAACCACCAACTTTAAAAAGGAGGGGTAGGAGCCTGGATCATAGATGAAAGAGGGCAGGTCATGAGGCTCAAGTAGTGGCAAGCCAGGTAGTAAAATTGGACCCTCTTTCAGAGGAACACTAAGCACCCCTTGGTGCACATTACAGTACACAGTTCCAACAGCACAAGAGTGAGTGAAAAATGAAGCTCCAGCAATGCCTAGCCCTTTGGCCATGTCCAGAGCCCATGTCATGGCTGAGTCATAGACAATGCAGCTAATTGGGTACCCAATGCTCTCTTGCTTTGAAATCAGCTCTGGTAATCTTTTTGACAAAATGTTTTGGAGCCACTGCATCTTCTTCTCTGCATTAATCTTGTCTGCTTCTTCAGATGCAGCATAAATTGATTCAATCTTGACCAAGCTCAATTGGGTTTCTATGGGCTCATGATGAGTGTCAGAGGAGATGATGACAAGTGTCACCCTTAAACCTTTGAATGCTAAGCGTTTTGAGAATTGGAACATTGGGTTTATGTGGCCTTGGAGAGGAAGAGGAACCACAAGTATATGGAGCATTGGTATCGTTGTACTTTGTGCTGTGAGGATAAGAAGTGAATAATTGAAGGGAACTTCCAGACTTGACTCAAAATTTATCTTTTATTTTTCTTTCTCAAACTTGTTTTCCCTCAAAGTCAAGATCCAGACTTGTTTCTCAATTTCTCTCATCATCAAATTGCCCTAGACCATGAAAATAGAGAATGGAAAAAATCATCCTAACCCAATTTTTTTTTTTTTTTCTCCAATTATGAAAATACCCAAATCCCTAAATGATGCAATAGAGGGGAAAGTTTTACACAGGAGCCCTAACTTGACATGACATGCGAGTAGGAGAGTGCAGAACAGCTTCAACCAAAGAGGCATGAGAAGATACCCGTAATTGAGAGAGTACAGAGCAGCTTCTGTTCTGTTTTGAAGGAAGGCAATATGGGTAATCCGAAAACTTCATTGATTGATGTCATGTTCCAAGAAAACAGCATCATCACCAAGCCTTATGTGGATTTTCTTTCATTGGCTCTTTCTTTCTCTTTTCTCCATTTTCTTTGCACAGAGTTATCTGTCTCTACTCTTTTTTCTTTCTTTCAATTATTTCAGTGTATATAGAGCTGAAAATTAAATTGGATGGCTTTTCTTATTCGGATCAGTCAAAGTTGTCATAATTGACAATTGACTGTTTCCTCCTGTGAATGAGTGGTCCATTTTTCTTTCTTTCGTAGGTGAAGCTCTTGCTATTATTAAGTGTTTTTTTTTTCTTCTCTTTTCTGGGTGATTTTGTAACACTGTTTTTGTTAAGCAAAATGACTTTCAAATTTCTATCTATGATTACATATGAATGAAATTATAGAATAAGTGGGACTTGATAGTCAAGACCTACCGCGGTAAACATGTCTTCTGCCAATGAACAAAGGCAACCATAAAAAGTCTTTCTCGCATTGGGGTGATGTTGCTTACACGGACATGGTCCAAATGCGGGCCAGAGTCATTAAAGTGATAGGCCCTCTCAATTGAAATACAAACTCTATGAGGTCCCAAGTGAGTTTGGTTTAGCAGAAAATTGAACGGGTTAGGCTACACATGTTGGGCGAACGTGATCGGGCTCCTCAATGAGATCCCGAGTTCGATCCTTCGCATGTGTAACGAATCTCTTGATGAGAGCTTTTCCTTAACCCGTGGCCGGCTCGGAAAGGTGACACTCCTGCCACCCTTTTTTTGTAACCAAAAAAAAAAAAAAAAAAACAATACTCTATACAATAACCTATCTACTTTTCCACTTCTAAGTAAAACCTAATTTTTGAATCGAATGCCATGTAAGACCAGTTGTCCAACTATTATAACTAAATTACAAACCATGCCACCAACCCCATATTTGCAGGACATCGAATATAATTTCAGTTTTTTTGTTTTGTTTTTTTTCCCCTTGAGAAATACTTCCCAAATTTCGTCTAGCATTCTTTTTCATGTTTGGTAAGTACATGCATGAGAAATGGTTGCCTGATACATAAGAAAATAAGGGGGAAATGTAACCCTCCTTTTTTTGGTTTCATTTTCCCTTCCCACAAGAAAGTTCGGGAAAACGGGCCAACATTAAATGCACATTTTTATGACCATTTTGTCCCCATTAACAATTTAGAATTACAATATAGCATTAAATGCATTCTTTTATTATTTGATTTTATATGAGTATAATTGAAAAATTAAACAAACTTTGTTTTACATTCCTACACAAACCAAATATAGGAAATGAATCTTCCAATTGTAAGTAAAACTGAAGTTAAATACAATAAACACATGAATTACAACATGAATAAAGAATACTTATCGATTGATTCATACTCAGTGAAGAAGACATGACAACTATGGGAACGATCTTCTTCTCTCTGCAACACCAGAATGTTCTTGCTATCAATAGGTCAAGCACGCCATAGAACTTGTGTATTGTGAGAGGAGGGACCGTTTCTTTTATATTGAAGAAACCTCAACACTATCTCTCCTATTATAGATAGAGTAAGAGTTTAAACAAAACTAATATACTTAAGTGATTGAGTCCTAGTCAATATAAACTAACCAAAGTCTGTCAAAACTGAAAGTCTAACAATAACTGATAAACATAACCCATTATCTCATTCCAATATGATAATCATAACGCGTGATTAGGCTAACTTACATAAGTCATCTTACACCAATTCCTATTGGGAAATAAATCTTCCATTTCCCATCTCTTAGGAAATGACGTAGGAAATAATTTCCCATCAAATCCTTTCCATGAACCAAATGGGACCTCAAAGTTTCAAACCGTAGGTGTGCATTTCACTCCCACATTAATAGCCTACCATCTCAATCCATACATTAATGCTATTATAGGGAGTAATTATCAATATTGATAAATATATACCCAGTGTGCATGTATAAAGTTTGAGTCATGCTAGAGAGACCATCTTTAGAGACCAACTGGTGTACCATCTCTCTAATAGAGGTGGTGCCCACCAATACAATGGGTCACATCCTCTATTAGAGAGATGGTACACAAATTGATCTCTAAAGATGGTCTCCCTAGTATTTTCCATAAAATTTCTACAATTTATCTACAATTTTCCACAATGTATTTAGTTATATACCCATTCTTAGCACTAGTGATAACCTACATCATTTAATTTCTATAAACAAACCCAAAACATGATAGCTGGCCTTATTGAATTTAATTTTGATTTTTAAATTACTTTGATGCTCTATTTAGTGTTCTAGATTTTTTTTACGAGGTTTTGGGGTTGGGCTTGTTTTAAGAAATCGATGACAGTTTTGTAATTTATAAAAAGTTCGAAGCCTCTTTGTTATGTTGTAAATGAGCTTTGGTTATGTTTCTAACTCCATTTCATGTATGTTTAAAAAAAAATTATAATTTGGGCCCCTATATTAGGTATAATAGTGAATCTCTCATAAAAATAATTGACCTATCTCTTTTTTATATACTATATGTACTTACAAATTTTCCACTCAAATAAAAATTATTTACCTATGTAGGTAAATTCTTATTCATATTCGACAATAGGTAGATTATTATTCATGAAAATTAATAAATACAGTAATAATTAAATTATTATTCATAAAAAATAAGGTTATGGATTGCAAGTAACAAAAAACTAGTTTGAAGGGGGAAGTCAAATTTACTATTTATTTATTTTGTGATAAAATGATGATAGCGTTCGACTTAATGGTGACGTGAAATACTAAGATTCTTGAACGAATGTGTAGTTTAAATTGATAGTTTGACGAACATAAGCATTAATTACTTGCACAAAACTTAATCGTGAGGTAAAATAGTAGACTCTTATTTAAATGTGCAGTTAGTTTGACAAACATAAACATTAATTACTCACACAAACCTATTTCTATTTGCATAAGAGAGCTGCTACAAATTCCTCAATATTCTTATCAGAGCTTCCACCTTCATCTGCAGCCTCCTTAGCCAATTCTCTCCATCTCATTGAATTCCTTTTAAACTCATTCCCCCTCTCTCCTTCCATGACTTGTGCTATGCATCTTTCTATTTCTTCTTTAGTGACAATTCCCATCTGATCAACCTTGACCCTCACTCCAACTTTCCATTCATCTTCCACAAACTTGGCATTTGTCAATTGGTCAGTCCACTGTGGCATTGCCACCATTGGGATCCCTAAGCTTAATGCCTCAAGTGTAGAGTTCCACCCACAATGTGTCATGAAACAACCAATGGCCCTGTGAGCCAAAACTTGCAATTGAGGGCACCAATTCACAACCAAACCCTTCTCTGATGTTTGCTCTTCAAAATTGCTTGGAAGCTTTTGAATTTCTGATTCTCTTACTACCCACAGGAAGCTGGTTTTGCTCCTTTTTAGGCCCAGTGCTAGCTCCTCCATCTGCTTTTCTCCTAGATTAGCAATGCTTCCAAATGATACATAGACAACTGTACATGCTTCCTTCGAATCTAGCCACTTGATGCAAGTGTCATTGTTGGGTTTGAAAAAGTTGATGCCATAGTCTCTGTCATCTTCCAACCTTTTTTCTAGGTACATTGATGGAAGGGTTGGCCCTATTGTCTTGATTGGCCATTTTGTTCTCATCCAGCTCACCACCTAATGAAATTATAGGGTGTCACGTATATAACATTCAAATAAAATTGTTTGTACCACATTTATAGACTATTTTTCACTAAGTAGGTCTCACATTAATAAAAGAAGTGGGCAATATCTGTCCTCAAATTCTATATGCTATAGTTGCCAAAGGGGCATTTTCACTCAAGCTAACATGTACTGTAGGCTTATAACATTTTAAAAAATGAATCTAGCATGTATAATCAACACAAGAAGAATGGTTGGTTTCTGTCAGTTTCCATGAGGTGAGCGATATCATGTGGGCAAAATGTGTCCTCAAATTTCTAGGGCCGTTGCGAAGGGGCATTAGTTGTCCCTCAAGCTAACATGTGGTGTAGGGCTATAGTATAAAGATCTAGATAGGTAATAGTAGTAGTACCTTTCATAATAATAGATCCTACTCTCTACCAATAATGCACAGAAAAAAAAAAATTTACAGTATTGAGCAAAGCGCCGAGGCATCCATTGTTCACATAGGGGAAACCAATGGTTCTTCTAGTACAATTTAAAGAGTACTAAATGCTAAATGGGAATTGCAGCAAGCTTCAAGCTCCATATGTTATGTGAATTAGGCCAAAAGACAATTGTAATCCATGTAGTTAGTTTTGAATTTCCAATTTCGTCTCTATACTTAAAAAGAAACGTGAAGTAACAATTCAAACTGCATTATCAAATATGTCTTTTGACTTTGATGAATTAGGTAAAAATTAAAGTTCTCACTTCTTATAATTACCCAAACATCTTTAATCAGTCTTTTTGAAATGGTTCCTGTAAGAGAAGTTGATTATGTTAAAGAATATAAAGTTCTCACTTCTTATAATTTCCCAAACATCTTTAATCAATCTTTTTGAAATGGTTCCTTTAAGAGAAGTTGGTTATGTTAAAGAATATAAGTCCCACATTGAAAACTTGACTAAATAAAATACAACATATAATGAATGGAACTACTACTATTATTACCGAGACTTTTATGATAAAATCTCTACTGGGCTTTATAGATGGTTAAGTTTGGGACAATATTAGTGTTGCTAGTTGTGCTCTTCTCCAGGGAGACCATTGCAATTATATGATTATAGCCGTATATATGATGAAGAAATGTTTGTGAATATATATATAAGTACCTCTGGTTCCAAGCAATCAAAAGTGTTGCAGAAGATCCAATCAGCATCAGTGATATTTGAAAACCTGCCAACTACCATCTTAAACACGGATGGGTAGGACCCTGGATGATTGATCAAAGAGGGCAGATCATGAGGCTCAAGCAGAGGCAACCCAGGTAGCAAAACTCGATCCTCTTCTAGAGGAACCCTAAGCAACTTTTGTTGCACATTATAGTACACAGTTCCAACAGCACAAGCCTGAGTGAAAAATGAAGCCCCAGCAATGCCTAGCCCTTTGGCTATGTGTAGAGCCCATGTCAAGCTTGCGTCATAGACAAGGCAGCAAATTGGGTAGCCATTCCTCTCTTGCTTTGAAATCAGATCTGGTAAGTTTTGTGACAAGATGGTTAGGAGCCACTGCAGCTTGCTCTCTAAATCAATCTTGCCTGCTCCTTCATATGTGGCATAAATTGGCTCAATATTTACCATACTCAACTGGGTTTCTATGGGCTCATGAGTCTTAGAGGAGATGGTGACTAGTGTCACCCTTAAACCTTTGGATGCTAAGCGTTTTGAGAATTGGAGCATTGGGTTTATGTGGCCTGGGACAGGAAGAGGAACCACAAGTATATGGGTTCCATTTGCTCTTTGTTTTGCTTTCTCCATTTTCTTTGTACACAGAACTCGATCTACCTGTATTGTGCTACTGCTGTTTAAATTGTTGGTGTTTTTGTATTCTTGCTGGGATATGAAATGTTGAAGAGAAGAAATAGAAGAATGAAGAAAGACAGAGTGATGAAATGCTCTTCTTCTCTCTTGCTGAAACTGCAGAGAGGATTGTATTTTTCTTCTATCAGAATGAGCACACAGAGCATGTACTACATACTTGGTAGCCTTAGCTGGATTCACACACAACAAAATGAATCTCAGCCACACATCTAGCTATTCTGGGATCACTACACATGGCTTATTTCAACCTTACATTTTAGAGCCTTACACCTACCATTCTAAGAGACTAGTGCATTCACTATTATCATTCTAGGCTTATACTCATGTAATCAGCTCATTACTTACAATTCTGCATAAACAGATCTACTGTAAATTAAATTGGATGGCTCTTTTATTCCATTATTCAACAATGAAAGAAACATTTCCTGAGGGATCCATTTTTCTTTTCATAGGTGAAACTTTTTAGCCCATGTGAAAGGTAAGGAGACATCACTAGCAGATAACCCAAAAAAAAACAAAAAACATTGCTTTATAGTCACAAATAGTCCTTTAGGTTTACAAAATGATCACGAATCATCCTTTAGGTTTTTTTTGTGACACTAATAGTCCTTCAGTCATCCTCTACTCATCAATTGGTTTCCGTCGAAACTGACGTTAAAAAAGTCATGTGCTTGCTTTTTGAAATGATAATTTTGTCATTCCACTCAACCCTCAGAACCCAACCCAACCTTCGACTAAACCCAAGCCCAACCCTCAGAACCCTTTCCCGCCATTTTGTCCTTGGTCTCTCTCTATTTGGGGTTTCCAATTGGGCAATTAGGGTTTTTTGAGTATTTGATTCATGAAGCTGATTGCAAAAGGAATATCTGAGTTCGTAAAGCCAAATATGCATTATTCTTCTTACAAAAGTGAGTAGAAGGATGAGTCCGAAGAGTTGTTTCGAATTGGGGGAAACAGCCAAAGTATACAGGTTAGTTTTTTAATCTTTGTCTACAGATGTGTTTGTTTTTTTTTGTGAAACATCAAACATGTGGTTGTATTTTGATTGTGTAATGTCTTTTTACTTTTTTTTAATTGTCAGTGAAATCTTTATGCTTTTCAGTTTAGCTTTATATTTGGTGTGGACCATGTTTGTTTTATATGGTTTCGAAGAAAGACAAGAGTTATGAAATGCTCTTCTTCTCTCTTACTGAAATTGCAGAGAGGATCGTATTTTTCTTCTATCAGAATGAGCACACAAAGCGTGGACTACATACTCGGTAGCCTTAGCTGGATTCACACACAACAAAATGAATCTCAGCCACACATCTAGCTATTCTGGGATCACTACACATGGCTTATTTCAACCTTACATTTTAGAGCCTTACACCTACCATTCTAAGAGACTAGTGCATTCACTATTATCATTCTAGGCTTATACTCATGTAATCAGCTCATTACTTACAATTCTGCATAAACAGATCTACTGTAAATTAAATTGGATGGCTCTTTTATTCCATTATTCAACAATGAAAGAAACATTTCCTGAGGGATCCATTTTTCTTTTCATAGGTGAAACTTTTTAGCCCATGTGAAAGGTAAGGAGACATCACTAGCAGATAACCCAAAAAAAAACAAAAAACATTGCTTTATAGTCACAAATAGTCCTTTAGGTTTACAAAATGATCACGAATCATCCTTTAGGTTTTTTTTTGTAACACTAATAGTCCTTTAGTTATCCTCTACTCATGAAAATGGTTTCCGTCAAAATTGACGTTAAAAAGTCATGTGCCTGCTTTTTGAAATGATAATCTTGTCATTCCGCTCAACCCTCAGAACCCAACCCAACCTTCGACTAAACCCAAGCCCAACCCTCAGAACCCTTTCCCGCCATTTTGTCCTTGGTCTCTCTCTATTTGGGGTTTCCAATTGGGCAATTAGGGTTTTTTGAGTATTTGATTCATGAAGCTGATTGCAAAAGGAATATCTGAGTTCGTAAAGCCAAATATGCATTATTCTTCTTACAAAAGTGAGTAGAAGGATGAGTCCGAAGAGTTGTTTCGAATTGGGGGAAACAGCCAAAGTATACAGGTTAGTTTTTTAATCTTTGTCTACAGATGTGTTTGTTTTTTTTTGTGAAACATCAAACATGTGGTTGTATTTTGATTGTGTAATGTCTTTTTACTTTTTTTTAATTGTCAGTGAAATCTTTATGCTTTTCAGTTTAACTTTATATTTGGTGTGGACCATGTTTGTTTTATATGGTTTAAGAATTATTCAAATATGTCCTCAAATTCTATGTGCTATAGTTGCCAAAGGGGCATTTTCACTCAAGCAAACATGTACTGTAGACTTATAACATTAAAAAAAAAAGAATCTAGCATGTATAATCAACACAAGAAGAATGGTTGGTTTCTGTCAGTTTCCATGAGGTGAGCGATATCATGTGGGCAAAATGTGTCCTCAAATTTCTAGGGCTGTTGCGATGGGGCATTAGTTGTCCCTCAAGCTAACATGTGGTGTAGGGCTATAGTATAAAGATCTAGATAGGTAATAGTAGTAGTACCTTTCATAATAATAGATCCTACTCTCAACCAATAATGCACAGAAAAAAAAAAATATTTACAGTATTGAGCAAAGCGCCGAGGCATCCATTGTTCACATAGGGGAAACCAATGGTTCTTCTAGTACAATTTAAAGAGTACTAAATGCTAAATGGGAATTGCAGCAAGCTTCAAGCTCCATATGCTATGTGAATTAGGCCAAAAGACAAGTGTAATCCATGTAGTTAGTTTTGAATTTCCAATTTCGTCTCTATACTTAAAAAGAAACGTGAAGTAACAATTCAAACTACATTATTAAAAATGTCTTTTGACTTTGATGAATTAGGTAAAAATTAAAGTTCTCACTTCTTATAATTTCCCAAACATCTTTAATCAGTCTTTTTGAAATGGTTCCTTTAAGAGAAGTTGGTTATGTTAAAGAATATAAGTCCCACATTGAAAACTTGACTAAATAAAATACAACATATAATGAATGGAACTACTACTAATATTACCAAGACTTTTATGATAAAATCTCACACTTACTGGGCTTTATAGATGGTTAAGTTTGAGACAATATTAGTGTTTCTAGTAGTGGCTCTTCTCCAGGGAGACCATTGCAAATATATGATTATAGCCGTATATATGATGAAGAAATGTTTGTGAATATATACCTCTGGTTCCAAGCAATCAAAAGTGTTGCAGAAGATCCAATCAGCATCAGTGATATTTGAAAACCTGCCAACTACCATCTTAAACAAGGATGGGTAGGACCCTGGATGATTGATGAAAGAGGGCAGATCATGAGGCACAAGCAGAGGCAACCCAGGTAGCAAAACTCGATCCTCTTCTAGAGGAACCCTAAGCAACTTTTGTTGCACATTATAGTACACAGTTCCAACAGCACAAGCCTGAGTGAAAAATGAAGCCCCAGCAATGCCTAGCCCTTGGCTATGTCTAGAGCCCATGTCAAGGTTGCGTCATAGACAAGGCAGCAAATTGGGTAGCCATTCCTCTCTTGCTTTGAAATCAGATCTGGTAAGTTTTGTGACAAGATGGTTAGGAGCCACTGCAGCATGCTCTCTAAATCAATCTTGCCTGCTCCTTCGTATGTGGCATAAATTGGCTCAATATTTACCATACTCAACTGGGTTTCTACTATGGGCTCATGAGTCTTAGAGGAGATGGTGACTAGTGTCACCCTTAAACCTTTGGATGCTAAGCTTTTTGAGAATTGGAGCATTGGGTTCATGTGGCCTGGGGCAGGAAGAGGAACCACAAGTATATGGGTTCCATTTGCTCTTTGTTTTGCTTTCTCCATTTTCTTTGTACACAGAACTCGATCTACCTGTATTGTGCTGCTGCTGTTTAAATTGTTTGTGTCTTTGTATTCTTGCTGGGCTATGAAATGTTGAAGAGAAGAAATAGAAGAACGAAGAAAGACAAGAGTTATGAAATGCTCTTCTTCTCTCTTACTGAAATTGCAGAGAGGATCGTATTTTTCTTCTATCAGAATGAGCACACAAAGCGTGGACTACATACTCGGTAGCCTTAGCTGGATTCACACACAACAAAATGAATCTCAGCCACACATCTAGCTATTCTGGGATCACTACACATGGCTTATTTCAGCCTTACATTTTAGAGCCTTACACCTACTGTTCACTATTATCATTCTCGGCTTATACTTACGTAATCAGCTCATTACTTACAGTTCTACATAAATAGATCTACTGTAAACTAAATTGGATGGCTCTCTTATTCCATTATTCAACAATGAAAGAAACATTTCCTGAGGGGTCCATTTTTCTTTTCATAGGTGAAACTTTTTAGCCCATGTGAAAGGTTTGGATACATCATCACTAGCAGATAACCCCAACAAAAAAAAAAAAAAAAAAAAACCATTGTTTTATAGTCACAAATAGTCCTTCAGGTTTACAAAATGATCACGAATCATCCTTTAGGTTTTTTTTTGTAACACTAATAGTCCTTTAGTTATCCTCTACTCATGAAAATGGTTTCCGTCAAAATTGACGTTAAAAAGTCATGTGCCTGCTTTTTGAAATGATAATCTTGTCATTCCGCTCAACCCTCAGAACCCAACCCAACCTTCGACTAAACCCAAGCCCAACCCTCAGAACCCTTTCCCGTCATTTCGTCCTCGGTCTCTCTCTCTATTTGGGGTTTCCAATTGGGCAATTAGGGTTTTTTGAGTATTTGATTCATGAAGCTGACTGCAAAAGGAATATATGAGTTCGTAAAGCCAAATACGCATTATGCTTCTTACGAAAGTGAGTAGAAAGTGAGTAGAAGAATGAGTCCGAAGAGTTGTTTCGAATGGGGGGAAACAGCCAGAGTATACAGGTTAGTTTTTTAATCTTTGTCTACAGATGTGGTTGTTTTGTTTTGTGAAACATCAAACATGTGGTTGTATTTTGATTGTGTAATGTCTTTTTACTTTTTTTTAATTGTCAGTGAAATCTTTATGCTTTTCAGTTTAGCTTTATATTTGGTGTGGACCATGTTTGTTTTATATGGTTTGAGAAAATTTATTGTTATTAATTCTAAGCTCTCTATTTCACGTAATCACAATTTTTTTTCCTCTCTCTCCACAAAATCCAAATTTTTTTGTTTATGGATGCATTCTCATGCTTTCTTTCATTCTGTGGAACATATTGAAGGAAAGGTGCTTTTAAAATTTAAAAAAAGAAAAGAAAAAAAAAGCATTTGTAGAGAAATAGTAGAATTTATTTCAGAAGGATTGGAGGTACTTCACTGGTATAAAAGTTCACATATATGGCTGCATAATTATATTGACCAAACACATCACTAGGATTAATCTCATCAGAGGGAATTGACTATTAGTCTGAAGTCCTCAAAGCTAACAGCCCCATCTCCATCTATATCAATTGAAGCAATAATCCCTTGACAGTCTTCAAGAGACAACTCATAACCCAAATCATCCCCCACAACCTCATAAAGCTCCTCAGCAGTCACAACCTCGTCCCCATCAACATCCAAGGCTTCAAAAGCATTCTTGAGGACATTTTCCAGCCCCCCAAATTCCAAGTTCTTTGTGTTCATGCCCAAGAACTCCTCTATGCTCAGAAACCCATCTCTGTTTGTGTCCCCTTGCTGCATCATTGCCCTCACATCTTGCTCACTTGCCTGGTACCCAAGTGACCCCAAAATCCCTCCAAGCTCTGCAGCATTGATCTTCCCATCATTGTCTGCATCAAAGGCTTTGAATGCTTCCACCAGGCCTAGGACTTGGCTCAGTGTCTCAGTTTCTGCAGAGAGAGAGCTTATCTGAGCCATGGAATTAGGTTTATGATCAAGTTGGTGTGTGTGAATTGTATTCAGATTGTTGAAATTTTTATTGGCACATCCACAACTATATATAAATGCTGCAAAAAGGGATTCCTATGATTTTTATTGGGGTTTTGATAAAAAGTTGGAAAGGAACAAAAGGTGATTCTTATGCTTGTGAATAATTTTAGTGCTATCACATTTTTTTTCTGGGATAAGATTATTCTGGCTGATTGTGACACAAAATTTTTGCTGGCGTTAACTTGATTTCCATAATTCTGAGCTAATTGTTCAAAAGTGTACCTTAGTAATTTTGGTTCTAGAAGAGTTAACAAATTATAGGGTGTGAGAATCTATGATTCACATTTGCATAAATTCCAGCCTCTGTAATGTAACTTGAGTGCTCATGGAATTGTTTTCCACAAGTTGCTCTGTTTGATTCTGTCAAGAAAGTGATGTCCACTTACCCCCATTGTCACAAAAACAAAAAAACAAAAAACTATATAAATGTTCTTTGCATAAGACAATCTTACATGTTGTAATCATATTGGCCGTGCCTGACTAAGATTGGGCAAACAAACCCATCAAACTGATCGACCCGATCGGGTTAGATTTATCCTTATTACTTCCAAGCATTGGGCTGGGTATCATCAAAGTTTTGAGACTATGTTGTTGGTTTGCGAGTGATGATGAAGTCAAGGTTTCTTCCATCGTTCTACTGTGATCCAGTAGGATATACAAAATTGAGAATTTCATACTTTAGTTTAGACACAACACAAAAAATGTAAGCAATGGACCAACTATTTATTAGTCTAATTGTACTTTTCTTTTTCAATATTGAAACTAGTTCTACGATCAAAATCCTTCTCCCCCATAAATAAAATAAAATGTTCTTACAAATATACCTACTCGTTATTCCTTACTAATATTGGAAGAGACTCAAAATTCGAATGGTAATCCGAATCGAGTAGTAAACAAATACTTGACTTTGGCCTTCTCTAAAATGCTTTTTTCTTTTCTGCCTATCAAAAGAACATACCTGATCGGATTCATAAAAAATATGCAAACCAACATTGTACTTTCATCCAGAAATTATGTCACAAAGAAACCAGATATGATATAAAAAGGCAGCAACACAAACAACAATGCATGCATGCAGAGATCTAGAACAACATGGTTTATATGCTTTTCCATGTAGTCTTACTTACGTATGAAACGGTGACGTACACAAAACAATCGTCATAGATGGCTATCAAATCTCAATATGATTCTTTAATTCTTGAAGCTTATTATTGAAATTAGGGCTTCTGCAAGTACATGCCAAACTTTCCAAAGCTCTCTTGAAACTTGGAACGAAAGAAACAGCAAACCAAGAAATTACAGGACAGCATGTCGTTTCACACATGAATTGAACAAAGACGGATACGTGCACGTCATTCACTGAGGTATATATTTTGAACACAAATATAAAATAGAATAGATGCTATAAATCAATCAATTGCCCAAATTATTGTACTATAACAACGTCATCTTAGATGTAGCTAAAAATATATAAATCAATCAACCAATTGCGTTTAACACCATTCGTTTATTCTAATTTAGTCTTCTCGATCATTATTTGATTTTGTTGAGAGTATCTCACATCGAATGATATGAATGATATGAAAGTTTTGTCTCAGTCGTTAAAAGATCTCGAACTTGTTCAATTATTACCAATTAATTTTGAATTAGTTTTGGGTTTGATTTTCGGGTCTAATAGATGTAGCTAAAAATATATAAATTTTCTTATTAAAGAAAGATTGCTTAGATTTTTTTAGTTAAAACTTCTCTTTCTATCCTTGTAATCTAGTTCTTGCAAGTACACGACAAATCTATTTTCATATTTACAAGTGGTTTGTATATATCATTGGATTTCATCACTTTGATCGAGCTGTCGATTGCCATGACAGGTCAGTCAGCGGTGCTTGCCCTGTAAACAATTGACCCCCTCCCATGATCCCATCCAATGTCTTTGGAGGCATTTCAAAGTTTTACTATAATATTATATTTACCTAGTGTAGTGGGAAAACCCCACCAACAAACACAACACAAGAACCAAATATTTAATTGGTTACCCTAATTATTTATTATGTCTAGTTGATTAAGAATGACATGTGTTTTTTTTCTATTTTATTACTACTTGAGAGAGACGAAAACGGCTCAAGCCAAATTGCCCACAAGCCTAATCTCACAGCTGGTTACACAAGAATGACTCATTTTCTATTTATATTAATACAATAAAAGTATATATTAAAATGGAAGAATTTTGTCGTTTATGCAAGAACTAGGAATTGTTTAGCGTTCGGAGAGCAAGGTTCATGCCTGGATGAACGAAGAAACTAAACTTCATCAATCAACCTCCTCAGGTGGGAAACAAGACAACTACATACATATATATTATATAATATATGCAAGAAGATTCTCTTAGCTGTTTTTTCCATCATAAACAAATGGCATGCAGAATGCTTGGAGGAGGAGGGGTCATGTAACATGTTGGGCGGATGTGGAAACTAGGTTAGCTGACCTTTCAACTTACCAAAGAAGAACAGATACAAAGGGTACCCAACTCAGTGTCGCGGTGAAAGTGGGAATGATCACTGATCATAGATGGATTGTGAATTTCAATAAATCTACGGTCAATAATTAATTATGCGTAACTGGTTGTATCACTCGTTTTGAAATAAATTCGTACCACATATATATATAGCTTGTTGTTATATTATATATATAG